GTGGTAGAGCACTCACCTTGAGCTGAAGAGCTCAGGGACAGTGCCCAGGCAGAGTTCAAGCGCCACAACTGACCAAAAAACCCCAAGAAAACAAAAAAACTTCATTACTCAGGCACTACTCTTAGAAAGTAACTCGAGTATGGGCTCTAATGAAATAGGCAAGTAAAACCAAGGGGAAGCAAAGCATGGGATTCAGAAAACAAAAAGTCCAAAATAAAAAAGACTATAAACCACCCCCCAAGGAACAAGCAGAAATCTTCAACAAAGAGAGGGGTAGACTGAGAAAGAATTTCTTCCTTACCAATTATGGCTTCAAGAATAAATCAGAATTGAAAATCATACTATGTAAAAGTGAAAGAAAGAAAGAAAGAAAAGGAAGGAAGGAAGGAAGGGAGGGAGGGAAGGAGGGAAATCAAGACACTAGTGGCTCATGCCTGTAATCCTAGCTACTGAGGAGGCTAAGAACAGGATTGTGGATCAAAGTCAATTCAAGCAGGAAGTCTGTGAGACTCTTATCTCCAATTAATCACAAAAAGCTGGAAGTGGACCTGACCAAAAAGAGCTCAGAGGCAGAACCCAGACCTAGAATTTGAGTCTCATTACTGGCATAAAACAACTACAGATGAAATCATAAATGGAAAACAAATCATTCTGGGAAAAAATGGGGGGAGAAGGAATTAATAGTTTTTGAAGTGTTGAGGGTTTTTTTGGTGCTTATACTGGGACTTGAACTGAGCAAAGGTCTGGGCCCTGTTTCAGAAGCTTTTTCACTCAAGATTACTGCTCTACTACTTGACCTACTTGCTCCGCTTATGGCTTTTTTTTTTTAAATGACTGAAGAGTCTCATGGACTTTTCCACCTGGGCTGGCCTTGAGCCTCCATTCTCAGATCTCAGTCTTCTGGGTAGTTAGGATTCCAGATGTGAACACAACTGGCACCTGGCTCGAACTCTTCGCCTGGCTATACTCTTAAGTTTTAACCATAGAGCTAGGGGTGTACAGAGCCACTGTATGGGCTTAGCTTGCACAAGGCTCTTGGTTTCATCCCCAGCATGTGTATATACAAAACATTCTTAGCAACTAGTTTTAGTAAAAAGCAACTCAGTGTTTCAAATTTTAGTATTTTCTATTTTTCTGAAAAATCACTTCAATCCTTTTCACATTTTCATGTTCATGTTCATATTAGCTGCAAATATTCTATTCTTTTACTATCCTGTGCCTTGCTCATTTTTCTCAACTTTATTTGTGCTTTTTCTTCTCTTCCTCCAGTAAATTAATTTTGATTTATCGCTTCCACTGATCTATTTTTTCAAAGAAAAAGACAGGTTAAATTACAGGAAAACTGTTACCTGGAATGATCTCGTAACTAGTTGCTCTCTTCTTTAGGTAGCAATAATATGGGGGAATGACTTCCTGTAGAAATACCACATCTGGACAGTACCTAATTAAAAGCATCAAATTAAGTACTAGCATATCATTTCATTTTCAATTATCTGAATAAAGGAAATTCCAAGACAAAAGAAACACAAACTGGCCAGGCACAAGTAGCTCAAGCACGTAATCCTAGCTACTCAGGAGGCTGAGATCTGAGGATCCCAGTTCAGAGCAAGCCCAGGTAGGAAAGTCCTTAAGACTCTTATCTCCAGTTAACCACCAGAAAATCAGAAGTGGCAATATGGCTCAAGTGGTAGAGCACTAGCCTTGAGCTGAAGAGCTGTGGGACAGCATCCAGGCTCCAGGACAAGCCAAAAAAAAAGAAACACAAACTGTTACCCTCTAAGGCACCTAGTATTCAAGGTTTATATTTCTAAATATAAAATAAGAAAGATCTGTTATTTATTTAGCATATAGTATTATGATGATTAAAAAGGTCACCAATGGCTCAGGCCTAGAATCCTAGCTACTCAGTAGGTTGAGATCAAAGGAACATGGTTTGAAGACAGCCACTGTTGGAAAAGTCCTTAGGATGCTTATCTCTACTTAACCACCAAAAACGCTAGAAATGGAGCTGTGGCTCAAGTAACGAAACACTAGCCTTGAGCAAAAAAAGCTCAAGGACAGAACCCAGGCTCCCTACTGAGTTCAAGCTCCAGGAAAGCTATCAAAAACAAAACAAAAGAAAAAACAAACAGGAGAGATGGGGGGCCTTGGTAGAACCCTGTCTGTATGTAGGTATAAGGCCACTGAGTCTAATTCGAGCACTGAAAAGAGGGAACAGTGATGAAAATAGAAACTACTATACTAAGAGCCTACAATGCTACCAATGTTATTTCTTTTTATCTTTAAAAACATTATGCACAGTAAAGGAAACTGAGCTCCAGAGAACTTACAATTCTAGAAAGCTCACAAAACTTGGTGCTATCTCAATCAGACACCCTAACTCAAAAGACCATCACCTCAACTCAGATATTTCTTCTAAAAGCTGGCCTTTGAAGCTAAGTCTAATTTTTCTTTTTTTCCTGCCAGTCCTGGGGCTTGAACTCAGGGCCTGGGCACTATCTCTGAGCTTCTTTTGCTCAAAGATAGCACTCTTCCACTTGAGGCACAGTGCCATTTCCAGCTTTCCTGTTTATGTGGTACTAAGGAACCGAACCCAGGGCTTCATGCATGCTGGGCAAGCACCCTACGACTAAGCCACATTCCCAGCCCCAAACCTTTCAAATTCTAACTTTGTAGATATAAGCTACTTATCACAGTAAACTATTGAAGAAAAATGACAATACTTACAAAGCTAAGTAGGAACATACCCCTCGAGCCCTCTCCTGAAGATTATTTATATCCAGTCCATCAATATTCCAGGTAATGAAAGAGAACATGGTTTTATCTTCTATCTCAGTACTTTCAAGTGAGTTGCTTTTAGAACTAGTAGAATCAGTCGTGTCTTCATTGGTTAGGTCAACACTGGCAAGATCAGAATGAAATATAGCTTTGCAAATAATCTACAAATTGAGATTTATTTTTTTTTGGACTTGTAGCCTTCCTTTAGAATATACCAGGGATTAGGCATCCTGTATCAGAAAACACGAATTCCAAATTGATTCAGAAGCTAAATTACTTCCAATATCAAGCATTTTAGGTAAGGGATATTCAACCTATAATTTTAAATATCCTAAAAGTATCTGTACATGGAAGGTCAAAATCATATGACTTAGGAGAGTGTTCACTCAATAGTGTTAAGAGAGAACTCAAAATCCTTCAAGGGTTACATATATTATTAAAATGACATATCCAGGGCTGGGAAGGTGGCTCAGTGGTAGAGCACTTGCCTTGCATGCATGAGGCCCTGGGTTTGATTCCTCAGCACCACATAAGCAAAAAGAAAAAAGCCGGAAGTGGTGCTGTGGCTCAAGTGGTAGAGCGCTAGCCTTGAACTGAAGAGCTGAGGGACAGCGCCCAGGCCCAGAGTTCAGGCCCCATGACCGGACCCAAAAATAAATAAATAAATAAATAAATAAAATGACATATCTGGGACTGATAGTGCCTATTTGCAATCCCACTCCCTCAGAAAGAAAAAAAGCTAAAGCTTCATTGTAGTAGGCCTCTGATCAGAGTTCCAAGAGGTAAGAGACCAATATAAGCAGTATTACTTGTTAACTGACATTGCATAATACACAATATAAACATATATATACATGTTCATAGGTGTTCATATCATATATACGAAAAGATGTACTCTATATTAGTACACACATAAAGTATATGTATAAAGTATACATGTATCATCGTAGTAAAACGTAGCACTAATAAAACTATTAACGTCTTGGTATATTTTCCTAAAATGGTATTTTAATGTAGCTATAAGTTATAAAGTGAATTTGTAGAATACTTATCACTTACGTGTGTATTCATTAAGTGTAGTATGACTATAAACATACGTAAATATATTACTTGTGAGTTGGCCAGAGGAGGGGCAACTGACCACACACTACAGGAAGAGAGACGACTTCCAAGCTACCATTCCTCTGCAGAGAATGTCCGTCCTGTTTGTTCCGTTACAGACCTGGTCTTATGCGTCTCTAACTCAAGTCAAAGTGTCACTTGGGTGTTTTCCACGCCTTTGGGCGTCGGAAACGGCGGTCAGCACCGCCGGGGGGTGGGGGGGCGCACGCGGTGTCCCCCTGCACCGGCGAGGCACGAACCTGCGGTTCTCGGGTGAGGGAGAAGCGAATGCCGCCCCGCCCCCAGCCCCGCGCCGGAACGCCGCCCGACGCCTCCGACAGCAAACCGCCCGACCCCGCGCGCCCCCGGGGAACCGTTTCCCCGACCCCCGCCCCGCCGGGACGCCGCCCCGCCCCCAGCCCCGCGCCCCGCCTCGGTTACCGCGTCCCGGACCCGGCCGACGCCTCCGAGGGTAGGCCGCCCGGCCCCTCCCCGCCCCTCCGCGTTTACCACGTCTCGGGCCCCGCCGCGCCCTCAGGGACGGCGTCCAGGGCGTCCTCCTCCGCCGACGGCTCGAAGAAGGAGTTGAGCGCTTTCTGAAAAGCACAACGGCACCGGGATGAGGCGGCCCGCGACGCCCCGCACACCCGAGCCAGAACCCCCGGCACCTACCTCCACCTCCCACTCGTTCTCCGCCAGGTAGCACTGCGCCACCGCTTCGTCGCATCTGGCGACCGAGGCAAACTCCTCACACAGAAGCCGCCGCTTCTTTACCTCGGGCTCGCCGTCCCCCTGCGCCGCCTCGTGCCCGCTCCCGCGCTCCATCGACCCGCCGCGTCTTCACCGAGCCGGCACCGGAGACTGGAGCGGCCGACCCCAGCCTCTGCGCAGGCGTCCGTTTTCCGGGTGCTCACGAATCAACAAGCCGGCGAGGAAACGTGCTCCGCGATAGGCCCGGCCGACTCGGTTGCCAGGGCCGACCCCGACAAACTACGCGTGCGCATTCGGTCACAGAGGTGGGGAGGGGTGGACGTCAGAACGTGAGCGCGCGAGCCTCGGGGGACGCTGGCTGCGGGAGCGCGCACGCTCCTCCACGGGCGGAGAGTCCGTCTGCCTTTTGACCCTCTACGCCCTTCTTCTTCCCGCGAACGGCGCAGGTGAAGTTCATTCCCTCCCGGAGCCCGGACGCTTGCAGTCCGTCCACCATGGCACAGAATATACGGGAACTTCTGAAGGTCATGATGAAATCTCCCGGCTTTGATAGAGTTTTGGAAAAGGTACTGGAGGCGAAGTCTGGAAAGAAGAGGAAGGCGAGCTCTGTGAATAAATGATCGCTGTCTAGATTCTGTTGGAATGCGCCCCAAGTCCCCATTAGCAAAGGTGGTTTCCCACTGCTTAACGGAGCCTCGGGTGTGTCGGGTTGAATTCGCGTTTTCTCTTAGGTAAAGTGTGGTGGTCAGTCGTGGAAACCCAAGTCGAGCCTTCCACGAGCGGGCAGGTAAAAAGTACGGCAACGCCTAAGCGCACGTCAGGGTTTTAGACGGCAGCGATGATCCGCTATGGAAAGTAGGAAAGCCCAGTACTTGGTAGCGTGAAAGAGAGGCGTCGCTCTGTGGAGGTTTGGGAGAGTTCACAAACGTATTCTAGCAGCTCCTGGAGAGGTAAGTCCTGGCCCTTGAATGGAAGCCAGGGCATTTGAGAGCTGCACTTGTAAGGTTTTGAGGTGTTTGGAGAACGTCATTTGCAGGGAGATACAAGTGCTGTTGAGTTAGGAAGACTCGGGTCTCTGTCCCCTGTCACCGGACCAAACTAAACCCAAAGGGTTAGGTGTCAAGGTCATTGTTAGAGGCTTTGTTGGAAGTATTGGTGGATAAGCATCCATGACAAAAGCGTACACTCAGTGGGTACACTCAAAAGGTACACTCAGTGTGGAGGAACTTCCCAAGAACTTTGAAAGTTTATTCTAATTAAGGAAGTGAGGGGTGGGGAACGGCGGTGGTGGCTCTTCCCTGTAATCCCGGGTACTCAGAAGTCAGAGTCACGGTTTGAAAGCAGTCTGGACAGGAAAATCGGGTGCGAGTCTTATTTCCAATTAACCAACTGTAAGCGGAGCTGTGCCCAAGTGGTAAAACACTGCAGAATACAGGGAAATTTGGAAGTGAAATTTAATATTGACCTAAAGTCATTCCTAAGTCTTTCTCCTGGAACACGCCTCTCAGGTTGTATTTTAACAGTGTGATAACTGTCATGGGCTGGGAAGGTAGCTCAGTGGTAGAGCGCTTGCCTTGCATGCCTGAGGCGCCCTGGGTTCGATTCCTCAGCACCACATAAGCAAAAAGAAAAAAGCCGGAAGTGGCGCTGTGGCTCAAGTGGTAGAGTGCTAGCCTTGAGTTGAAGAGCTGAGGGACAGCGCCCAGGCCGAGTTCTGGCCCCACGACCGGACCCAAAAAAAAAAAAAAAATTACTGTCATGGCTTTTCTGAAAAACAGGAATAATATTCAGACAGTTGTATCTGATATTCTCAGAAAGTTCTGTAAGATGCAGTAGCATATTATGTGACTTTTAGATGTATTATCTAAAAAAGGATGTAATGGCCTAGGAGAGAATTTGAATTCCATAAAAATTCTGTAGCAGGGATGGGGATGTAGCTCAGAGATAGCACATCTGCATAGCCCTAGGTTCCAGTTCCAGTCCATGCAAAAAAAAGAAGAAGAAGAACAAAAACCCACCTCTGTGGTCCCTTTAGAGCTTTCAGTCTAGTGCTTTCAGCAACTTAATAAATGTGTCCTGTATTTTTTTTTTTTTTTTTTTTGGTTGGCCATGGGGCTTGAACTCTGGGCCTGGGCACTGTCCCTCAGCTCTTAGCTCAAGGCGAGCGCTCTACCACTTGAGCTATAGCGCCACTTCCGGTTTTCTGGTGGTTTATTGGAGATAGGAGTCTCTCCTGCCAGGGCTGGCTTTGAACCGCGATCCTTAGATCTCATCCTCCTGAGTAGCTAGGATTACAGGTGTGAGCCACCAGCGCCCAGCTGTGTCCTGTATTTTTATTAGCTATGAATACCTAGTTAAAATTGTAATACTCTAGCATAGTGTGATGACAAATCCCTGTAATCCCAATACTTGGAAGGCTCTTAAGTTTGAGGTCGGCCCACATTACTTATTGAGACCTTGTTTCAAAAAAAACTATTGAATGTTTTCATACTTAATCATTTGAAATGAGAATTTTTTTGTGTCCAAACTGGCTTCAAACCACAACTCCCCTAACATCTACCACCTTCCAAATAGAATTACAGGCTTGAGCCACTACACCCAGCCCTGATGTGTTTTTTGTTTAGTTTTGTTTTTGTATCAGTACTGAGGCTTGAACTCAGAGTTTGGGTCCTGTCCCTTAGCCTTTTTTGGTCAAAGCTAATGCTCTAGCACTTGTGCCACAAGCCTTCCAGCATTTTTAGTGACTAACTGGCAATTAGAGTTTATGGACTTTCCTGCCTTGGCTGTCTGGGAACTACAATCCTCAAATCTCAGCCTTTGGAGTAGCTATGATTACAGGCATGAGCCATCAGCGTTTGGCCCAGCATTACTTTTTAGAAAGTGGAAGAGTTACATGATCTGAAGAGAAATCAGAGTATTGAATGCAGAGTTTTACAAATTGTTAAAACTCTAAATTGACATAAGGATGTGTACTGTCTCCTAAAATCATCTATGTTCTTACTACATTGCTCTTGCAAAGATGAGAAAGGGGTATTTCTGAATAAGAACCAGATTTTGAATTCTGTTGCTTCAGATCTACCATTACTAAATATAGGTAGTTGTCAAAGCAAAACTGTATTTTCTTCTTGGTTAAATGTGACAATTCTATCCTGAGTACTAACCTCTTAACAGGCTGTGTTTTTTTTGTGTGTGTGTGGGTGTTTTTTTGGGTGGGGGGGTGGGAGGGGGTGGAACTGTGGGGAGGAGTTGCTGGTCTGGGGCTTGTCAGGGCCTGGACACTATTCTTTTACTTTTTGCTTCCAGGCTGGTGCTCTACCACTTGAGCCACAGTTCTACTTCTGACTTTTTTGGGTGGTTAATTGAAGATAAAGTCTCATGGACTTTCCTGCATATGCTAACTTAAAACTGCAAACCTCGCGCCGGGCGCTGGTAGGTCACGCCTGCAATCCTAGCTACTCAGGAGGCTGAGATCTGAGGACCGCGGTTTGAAGCCAGTCCAGGCAGGAAAGTCCATGAGACGTTTATCTTCAATAAACCACCAGAAAATTAGAAGTGGTACTGTGGCTCAAGTGGTAGAACGTTAGCCTTGAGCTGAAGAGCTGAGGGACAGCACCCAAGCCCAGAGAGTTCAAGCCCTACCACCAAAACAACAAAAACAACAAAAAATCCTTCAATCCACAGATCTCAGCTTCCTGAGTAGCTAGGATTACAAGGGTGAGCCACCAGCTCCTTTCATAAATCTTGCTAAAAAATCATCTTTAAATTTGTCAAAAAATTAAATACTATAGACTATAAAGAAATACCAACCATAAACCAGGAAATAGTGGCTCATATCTATAATCCTAGCTACTTGAGAGGCTGAGGTTAGGAGGATTATGATCTGAGGACAGCATGGACAGGAAAGTTTTAAGACCCCTACTCCAATAGCCTGGCCATGGTAGTATGCACCTGAGAGCCTCACTATGTAACAAGCCGAGATTGGGCAATTTGGGCAAAAAAAGTCCATAAGACTCCATCTTTTTTTGGATGTGTGTGCTGGTCCTGAGACTTGAACTCAGGCCCTGGGTACTGTCCCTGAGCTTTTTTACTCAAGGCCGGTGCTCTACCATTTGAGTCACAGCTCTACTACTGCTTTTTGTAGTTAGGGATAATCTCATAGACCTTCCTGCCAGACTTTCCAGACTGGCTTTGAACCGTGATCTGCAGATCTCAGTTCCTGAGTAGCTATGATTACAGGTGTGACTCACCAGAACATGGCTTCATAAGAGTCCATCTTAATTGAAGGAACTGGATATAGCAGACTTTGCTTGTCATTCTGGCTACAGTTGGAAGCCAAAATAGGATAATCACTGTTTAGGCACATACCAAGAAGCAAAACCCTCACTCAAAAGTAACCAGCACAGGGCTGGGAAGGTGGCTCAGTGGTAGAGCACTTGCCTTGCATGCATGAGGCCCTGGGTTCAATTCCTCAGCACCACATAAGCAGAAAAAGCCAGAAGTGGCGCTGTGGCTCAAGTGTTAGAGCACTAGCCTTGAGCTAAAGAGCTGAGGGACAGTGTCCAGGCCCAGAGTTCAGGCCCCACAACTGGCAAAAAAAAAATAATTAAAAAAAAAAAAAAGTAACCAGCATAAAAAAAGTCTGGAGGACGACTAGATCACTGGTGACTGTAATTCTAGCTACTCAGGAGGCTGAGATCTGAGGGTTCTAGTTTGAAGCCAGCCCTGGAAGGAAAGTTCATGACATCTCCAACTAAGCACAGACACAAAGTGCAACTGTGGTGCAGGTGCTAAGAACAACTTTAAGCACCTGAGGCCCTAAGTTCAAGCTCTACTGGCACAACAAAGGTCTAGAGGTGTGGTTCAGCAGTAGAGCACCTGCCTAGCAAGTACAAGGCTCTGAATTCAAACCCTAGTGCCACCAAAATTTTTCTTGCCTGTTAAGAATTTATAACTTAAGCCAGGCGCTCGTGGCTCACGCCTGTAATCCTAGCTACACAGGAGGCTAAGATCTGAGGATGGCGGTTCAAAGCCAGCCCGGGAAGGAACCTCCATGAGACTCTTATGTCCAGTAACCCACCAGAAAACTGGAAGTGGTACTGTGGCTTAAGTGGTAGAGTGCTCGCCTTGAGTTGAAGAGCTAAGGGACAGCGCCTAGGCCCAGAGTTCAAGCCCTATGACTGACCAAAAAAAAAAAAAAAAAAAGAATTTATAACTTAGAAAAGTGAATTCTAAGTTTCATCAAAGGTACTAGAAGAAAAAATAAAGGAGTTGAGGTGAATAACTTCAGAAAACATTATGTATATAAATTCCCATTTTTAAATACATGGCTCAGTATTATTAGTTACATTCATATTGTTATACAACTGTCACCACTATCTTCATAACTTTATATGTTGCAAAACTGGAACTGAATTCCCACTAAATAGTAAATCCCATTCTTTAGTCCCCCCCCCCCCCCACAAGCAACTGCCATTCTACTTTGCATCCCTATGAACTGATTACCATAGATACCTATAATAAATGGAGGTGTGTGTCCTTGTTATAATAAGACTTTTGACTAATTCTAGATTTTAAAATGTTCAGTTTTATGCTTGTCATTGAAACAACTTCATAATAGCAAACAGACAAAAATAGTTAAAAGGTTAGACTTAATCTTATACTTATTAAAAGATTAGACTTAATTACGCTTATTAAAAACCACAAGAAGGCAGTGATATTCAAGTTTACCAACATGTTATACCAATAAAAATGATCAGATATGTTATTGGTCATTAAAATTGTTCAAAAATAAGAAATACACAAAAATGTAATGAGGCGAGATCTTTAGGTTTATGGGCAAACAATATCTTCACAGCACTATTTGTGATATGACAATCAGGAAATAAAACTTAAATGTCCAGTCACAAGAAAACTGGCAAAAGAAATCAGGACAGCTCCATGTGGAAAGGCCTTTAAAAGTCACATCTTTCAACTAACAGGAGTAAGTCATTATATGACGTGTCATATGAGTATTTTCGTGTGTGTGCAAATACTGAACAAAACTGAGCTCAGAGCCTCAAACTCTTGGTTGGCTTTTTCATTCAAGGCTGGTGCTCTAAGACTTGAGTCACAGCTCCACTTCCAGCTTTTGGGGGGCTAACTGGATTTAAGAGTCTCATGGACTTTTCTGCCTAGACTGGCTTTCATATCACAGACTCTTGAGTCACTAGGGTTTATAGGCATGAGCCACTGAGCCTGGCTTTATCATATTTATTTTTTATGACACATGCCATTATTTGTCAGGCACTAAATACATTGCTAATATAAACTCAACTGTTTTAAGTCAAAAGTTTAAAAAAAATCCCAATAGTCTGGAAAAGAATTTCATCTTATGAGTAGTGAAAATCTAATATGCTAAGAAGAGCTGTGGAGACAAATGGTCTTCTAGGGCACAAAACATAAAAACATGCTATTCATAGAAAAATGCAGATTACCAACAAAAAAAATCAGGACACAACACTATTATTAGTCTTGCAAATCAAACATGACATGATTTCCCCATCAGGTTGTAAAAATGAGCAGTATGCATTTCTGACGAGCAGTGAGAGAAAAGACATCATAGCTGCTGGAAAGCAATCTTAGGCAGTTCTCCTGCCTCGCCTTCCCAAGAAGAAGCGACTACAGGGGCACACCACTGCCTCCAGCTTAGTTTCTTTTTCTTGAGAATTTTTAAATGTCATCGGAGAGTATGTCACAAATAGTGACATTTCAATAAAAACCTGAGCAAGTTATGGGTCTTGAAGGAGAACAGTGTTAAATCCCCAAAACTTTACAATAGTACTTAACAGTGTGAAGAGGAACCCCAAAGATGCTAACAAGGGGGTTACTGGATAAGATGATTTCATACATGGCTTTGTAGTCTCTCTAAAAACATTTTGTAGCAGTACTAGGAAAGCAATCTACCAAAGCCATATCCCTACCCCAATCTTTTTTTTTTTTTTAACTTGTTTTTGTGCCAGTCCTGGGGCTTGAACTCAGGGTCTAGGTGCTGTCCCCTAGGTGCTCTTCCTCAAGGCTCCGCACTCTTCCACCTGAGGCCCATCCCTTATCTTGTGGTTTTGGTGAATTGGAGATAATAATCTCATGGAATCTTCACCCAGACTGGCTTGGAACCATGATGCTCTGAATTTATAGGATTACAAGTATGAGCCACTGGTGCCCAGCACAATGATTATAGTTTAATATTTCCTGCCCTCTCCCTCCCCCCAATACAGGAAAAGACTCCAAGCCTAGCCACTTTTGTTTTTCCACACAGATACTGGGACTTGAACTAATGGCCTGTTCTCATTTGGCTTTTTTTAATCAAGACTGACATCATTTGAACCATACCTCCACTTGTAGCCATTTTTAATCAGAATATAGCTCCCCATGAGCCTCTCACCAGTAAGACTACTTATTAACTATGGAAGGATGTACAGGACATTGTCATTGTTACACCAGCTTAATAATTGCTTTACTTAGGAGACATGAATTGGCAATACATTGCCATTTCTTCTGTCATGTCAGGCTAACATGCAAAGTTATCTTATTCCAGTTTTAAGTTAACATGTTCTGTGGTCCTTCCTTGGGGAAAAGGAAGAAAACAGTCTTTAAATCTATCCCTAGCTGCTCAGGAGGCTGAGATCTAAGGATCGCTGTTCAAAGCCAGCAGGGCAGCAAAGTCAGATTCATGTCCAGTAAACCGCCAGAAATGGAGCTTTTCCTCAAATGGTAGAACACCTAGCCTTGAGCAAAAAGCTCAGGGGCAGTGCCAATGCCCCTAGTTCAAGCCTCCATACTGGCATACACATACAAAAGATGAACTTTGTTCCTATTTGGTGTGTATTATTAGTTCATGGGGCCATCTTGTGGCTAAATCACATATTGCTACAGACAACCCAATTTTAACTTTTTTCCCCATTGATTTAACGCTATTGTATAACATGACAGTAATTGGGGGATGGTTTATATTATTTTGGTTTTGTTTCCTTCATGACCGTTGAAGAATAAACAGTGAATCTCAGTAGAGAACTCTGTCTCTATGTATCTAGAGACTTTATAAGTCAGTGGTTAGAAGGACAAAGAAGGTAGACCTAGATCTAAAAACTTAGCTCCTGTCACATAGGGGTGATCTTGACAATAAACGACTCTGAATTTATCAGGAAAATCAAAATTATCCCTGTCTTATTATACAATATGGTCATGCACCAATCACATAATGACATTTTGGTCAATGGACTGGATTGTACATACTATAGTGGTCCCATGAGTATATTATGTTGCTAAACATCCCTGTGGCCAATAAACACATAGCTGAAGACAAAACTGGAAGAACCTCCAAGAAAATTCACATACCCCTCAACAAGTTTTTTGTTTGTTTGTTGCCAATCCTGGGGCTTGAATTCAGGGCCTGGACACTGTCCCTGAGCTTCTTTTGCTTAAAGCTAACACTCTACCACTTTAGCCACAATGCCACTTCTGGCTTTCTCTGTTTATGTGGTAATAAGGAATCAAACTCAGGGCTTCATGCATGCTAGGCACTTACTCTACCACTAAGCCACATTCCCAGCCCAAGTTCCTAAAAAAGTTTGAAAACACAGGCCATCACTGAAAGGCTATAAAACAGTATTGTTCATGGTGTTAGCTTTCAAGCGAATCTGTGATTGAAAAAACAAGCATGTCACCATGGACATATTCCTGAAAGTACTTCTGAAGAAGCTTAATTCTAACTCAATAATAAATTTCTGCCTGCCTGTTTTTTCAAGTTGTTTTCAACTACTCAAAAATTAAGTCATTTAGAAAATTACTTTTCTTGTGCAAAAATTAGGAACCCAAATTAGACGTATATATGGCTTACTAAGAGATGACAGAGAGGGGCGGTTAGCACTTGCCTAGCCAGCTCAAGGCCCTGGGTTCAGTTCTCCAAGTCAGGGATCAGTGGCTTAGTTGGTACAAAATGTCCAAGGAGACATGGAGAGATGCCTGGTGTTGGACATAACTGAAAAACTGAATTCCGCAGGAATAGAGATTAGCAAAAACTATTGTTTCCCTAAATATTCCCCTTTAAAAATAATCTACTACTAGGCATTGGTGATTTGCACTACTTGGGAGGCTGAGATATGAGTATCACACAGTTCAAAGCCAGCTGGGGCAGAAAAATCTGTAACACTTTATCTTCAGTTAACTACCAAAAAGATGGTACAGCACTAGCTTTGGGCAAAAAAGTTCAGCCACAGTGCCCAGGATTGGTACATGCGTGCACGCACACATGCATATAACAACAAAAATCTAGCAAGTTAATTGAATTTCTGAATCAACTTTTGGGGGAAATTCAGTTTCATCCAATGATTGCTTTCAATGGACTGTTTGAATTTTTTCTAATGACTGAACTAATTATTATTATTTTTTTACATTTAGGTGACTGTTGTCTCTGCTGCTCCTGAAAAACTAGTTTGTGAAATGAAAGTAGAAGAACAGCACACTAATAAGCTTGGTACTCTCCACGGTGGTCTGACAGCAACCTTAATAGATTCCATATCAACCATGGCTCTGATGTGCACGGAAAGAGGAGCACCAGGAGTCAGTGTTGACATGAACATAACGTATGTATCCAAGCCATATCCAACATAGCGCTAAACATTTCATAACTTCAAACAAAGCTAAATATTAGTGAAGCATGGGATCCAATTAGCTGCTTATTCTTAAATACAGCTATAAATCTATAGCCATATGCCTTGGCTTTCAAACCTAGAAGTAAAACAGTTCTAATTATAGTCACTGGCCGGGCACCAGTGGCTCACGCCTGTACTCTTAGCTACTCAGGAGGCTGAGATCTGAGAATCATGGTTCAAAGCCAGCCTGGGCAAGACCGTGGGACTCCTATCTCCAATAAACCACCAGAAAACTGGAAGTGGCGCTGTAGTTCAAGTGGTAGATGCTCACCTTGAGCTGAAGAGCTGAGGGACAGTACCCAGGCCCACAGTTCAAGCCCTATTACTGACCAAAAAAAAAAAAAAGTCACCCCTCCATATCTGTGGGTGATTGGTTCTAAGACCCCACTCAAAATATGAATGTTGACTCCCTCCCATATGGGAGTAAAATGGCATATATATATATATGTGTATATATACCATTATATATATGTACCTGTACATATATGTATATATGCCATATATATGCATATTTATGTGTGTGTGTGTGTGTGTGTGTGTGTGTGTGTGTGTGTATATATATCCTATACATTCTCTCCTGTATTCTTTTTGTGGTGCTGTTTCTAGAGCTTGAACTTAGGACCTGGATGCTATCCCTTAGCTTTGTCACTCAAGGCTGGTGCTCTACCATTTGACCCATTTTTCAGCTTTTTGGTGATAAGATAGGAGATAAAATTCTCATGAACATTGGCTTCACTGCCCTATTGTTAGTAACTCAAATTTAAGGCATGTTGCCAAAACATTGGCCACCAAGAGCTGCCTAAATTTCAAAATTTGATAAACTGAACAGACATGGTCTAGAGGAGTTTCAGGTTATAGATATCTCAAAACTAAATGTTTCACAATGGAGGGGGTAACAATGTTCAAGAGGAAGTGTACTCATAACCTCACTCATGTAACTGTAACCCTCTGTATAGTAGCTTTACAATAAAAAAAAAAAAAGTAGGCTTAAATCTTCATAGAATTCACAAACTTTATAGACCATGATAATGACTAATTGCCTTGTGAAGGTTAAAATGTGTTTGTGACTTTAACTAAGTATCACTATTCCACAATACTGTGAAATTTATGTAATAACCTAATCTCAATTGAAAAAAATAGAAAAAGAAAAGTGAAAGAAGGGGTGGGTTAGAAGTGACAATGTTGTCAGACACATTGTATTCATATACTGTTTTGTAGAATGGGTAACTTCTTTGTACAACTACTTAAAGATAATAAAAAATTTAAAAGTTAAAAAAAAAAAAAGAAACAAAACACAAGAAAAAAAATAAAAATAAAGAAAAGCATTCTATTACTAAAAAAAAAAAAAAAAAAAACTAAATGTTTCAGTCTCTAAACATCTCATGTGCTAGACACCACTCAGGATACCATATTTACTCCTGCATGTTTTTTCTACGCTAGGATTGAACCAAGAGCCGCTTGCAAGCACCCAACCACTGAGCTATACTCCAAGCCCCATATTAAATCTTATATTACATAAGTAGAACTTGTCTTCCACAGAATATGACTTGGATTAAAAAAAAAAAAAAGTTACAAGGGCCGGAAAGTTGGCTCAGTGGTAGAGTGCTTCGATTCCTTAGCACCACATAAGCAGAAAAACCCAGAAGTGGCACTGTGGCTCAAGTGATAGAGCGCTAGCCTTGAGCTGAAGAGCTGAGGGACAGAGCCCAGGCCCCAGAGTTCAGGCCTATGACTGACAAAAAAAAAAAAATTATGAGTTCCAAAATAACAAAAGAGGAAATTCTAGGATAAGAATACTATTGACTAAGTGGCAGCTTCCAGATCCCCTAATTTAGCAGTTTCTCATTTATGAACAAGGAACTGCTGGCTTTCTTTACATTCATTTAATAGCTAATAGCTAAGTTCTTTACTTTTTTTTTTTTTGTCAGTGGTAGGGCTTGAACTCTGGGCCTAAGCACTGTCCTTCAGCTCTTCAGCTCAAGGCTAGCGCTCTACCACTTGAGCTACAGCGCCACTTCTGGTTTTCTGGTGGTTTATTGGAGATAAAGAGTTTCACAGACTTTCCTGCCCAGGCTGGCTTTGAACCGCAATACTCAGATCTCAGCCTCCTGAGTAGGATTACAGGCGTGAGCCACTTAAGTTGACTTATAAAAAAAGTAGGGGAAATAGTGAAAAGTAGCCAAAAAGCTTAGACATAGCACTTTCATTTTTTTAGACTGAAGTACATGAATTTAAATCAGTCTGTTCTTTTCAGCATTAAAGTCTGAACTTTCTTTTACCTCCCAGACATACTTAAGTCTTATTTTGAATTTGACTAAATTATTTAACTTTTCAAAGGTCCTTGCTTTATAATAAAAGACATTAAACTTGGTAAAGAAATTTCTATTTAGAACATTGTTTTTATCCCCAGCTTTAAGATTGTTACAAAAAAACAACTAAAAAACTCTTGGAAGCTCACACCTAAAATCCTAGCTACTCAGGATTTTAGGACTGTTGTTCAAAGCCAGCCCAGGCAGAAAAGTCCACGAGACTGTTATCTCCAGTTAAAAAAAAAAAAAAAAGCTGGAAGTAGAGGTGTAACTCAAGTGGCAGAATGCCAGCCTTGAGTGAAAAATCCGAGGTTGCCCTGAATTCAAGCCCCAGAACCAACACACACACACACAAACAAGGAATAATATGGGGGGGAGAGAACAGTTCCCCATATCCATAGGTTCTACACCCACAAAACCAACTTCAGTTGGAAAATGTCTTTAACTTCTAACATGTGCAACCTTTCCTTTCATTATTCCCTAAAATGATGCACTCTAACTTACATAGTATTTACATCCTATTATGTATTTTAACTAATCTAGAGATGATGTAAAGTATATAGCAGGGTTGGAATAGGTTGTTTAAATTGTACAGAAAAAAAGTCATGAATTTTGGTACCAGAAGGTGTACTAGGACTAATCCCCCAGGGATACCAAGACACAACTTTTCCTACCACAATTCTAAGGACTTCATATTCATTACTTGTTCTTCTAATGTCATTTTAGTGAAGTCTAAACATTGATAAGACAGAAACACCAAGAGATACTTCACTTAGGAAGTAGATTAAATTGTTATGAGAAAAGAAACACTATTGATAAGGGATGGATGAGAGCAAAACCAACCATTCAAATATGATAGGAAAGCTTGTCATTATTCTTAAATTATAGGAATAAACTACATAGGAAAATGATTGAGTTTATCATAACCTTCCCTTTTAAAAGCTTTCCATTAACCATAAATATTTCCTTTCAAGGTACATGTCACCTGCTAAAATAGGAGAAGAAGTAGTGATTACAGCACATATTCTGAAGCAAGGAAGAACACTTGCATTTGCCTCTGTAGATTTGACTAACAAGGCCACAGGAAAACTAATAGCACAAGGCCGACATACAAAACACCTGGGAAACTGAGAAAAACAGCAGAATGACTTAAAGTGAACATTAAGTACAAATTTTGAACAAGTTTAAAAATAAAAGAACAAAAATATTTTCTTGGGCTGGGAATGTGACTTAGTGGTAGTAGAGTGCTTGCCTAGCATGCATGAAGCTCTGGATTCGACTCCTCAGTACAACATATACAGAAAAAGCTGGAAGTGGAGCTGTGGCTCAAGTAGTATAATGACAGCCTTGAGCGAAAAAAATCTAAGGGACAGTTCCCAGGCCAAGTTCAAGCCCCAAGACTGGCAAAATAAACGAATAAATAAAATTGTGGAAAACAATGTATAAAGCAGTTAGTGCTGAGGTGTGTCTATTCATTTGAACTATCTTCAGTTTTATTTTTTTAGAACTTCCTAGCATTTTCAAAACAAAAACAAACTCAAGATAAGCTATTTTATCTGGGTGCTAGTGGCTTGTCCCTGTGATCCTACTCTGGAGGCTGAGATCTGAGGATCACAGTTCAAAGTCAGTCCGTGAGACTTATCTCCAGTTAACTACCAGAAAACCTAAGTGATACTGCGGCTCAAGTGGTAGAGCACTCACCTTGAGCTGAAGTGCTGAGGGACTGCCCCCAGGCCCAGAGTTCAAGCCCCACAACCAGCAAGAAAAAAATTAGCAATCCTAATCTAAGATTAATGTCCAACACTAAAGAGAAATATAAATGGACACCTTTGTTTGGGCTGTTGTAATACAACTATAGATGATATACCTTATATAAAACAGAATTTCTGGAGGCTGAAGAGGTCCAGCCCATTGTCTGCTTTAGTTATCTTCAAATGGCAGAAGAGTCAAGGAATGTTTCTCTGAAGAATCATAAATGCTAATAAAAGTGCCTCCGAAAGACCCTACCTCCTAAAATCATCACCTTAGAGGATTCTTAGGGGGATACATTCAGACTACAGCAGCTCTAAAGTGCCATTACACTTTCCATTTTCTTTATGTGGCCTAGAATAATCAAACAAATTTGAAGCAAAGCATATTAGTGACACCAGAAATGGCCCAAATACCTCTCTGCTCTAGCCTGGAATCTCTTGTATTAAAGGGTGGGGAAAAGCATATGACAAGCCATATTGAATTTCCTCATCTGTTATACTGAAGAAAAAAAGATGGCAAACCACTTAAGTCCATTTCTCAAAAGTTCTGTAGACTGTGGAACTCCTAATAAATTGGATTTCTCTATTAGTAATCATTTCCTACTAACTGGAAATAGCTGTGTTACACTTTGCCTGTATTAGAATGCATGCTGGGGACTGGGAAATTTAGCTTAGTGAAAGAACATAGACCACTTGCCTAGCAAATGCCAAGTTGCCAACACTGAAACAACAAAAACCAAGACAAACACATTGAGAATATGTGTGTGTGTGTGTGTGTGTGTATATATATATAAGAACTAGAATACGTGTTGATCTGTTCACTAGAAGGATAGCCATTCCCTAGTAGCAGTGACCATAGAGTCTCTGATGCCTTTATATCTAGTATTTCCCACTAGAATGAATTTACGCTCCTTGAAACAGCTGATAGTACTGGAAGCTAGTACAACAAAATCTGTAAGTTATCCCTGAAAGAAATGTTCAAGGAAAGAGGCATAAGGGCTGAGAAGGTGGCTCAGTGGTAGAGCGCTTGCCTTGCATGCATGAGGCTGTGTTCCATTCCTCAGCACCACATAAGCAAAAAGAAAGCTGGAAGTGGTGTTGTGGCTCAAGTGGTAGAGCACTAGCCTTGAGCTGAAGAGCTGAGGGACAGCGCCCAGGCCCAGAGTTTAGACCCCACGACTGGACCCAAAAAAAAAAAAAAAAAAAAAAAAAAAGGCATAAACACAGGACAGCAGGGGAATCAACTCTACAGTTTCAGTCAAAAGAGCAGACTCTTCCATATTATAAAATGCTAAAGAAAAATATTTTTTAAAATGCAGTGTGGGTGAACTTGGAAAATCACCCATTTGCAACCATCAAGTTTGGTTCAGTCCAGCAGCAAGAATCCCTGGTATAAAGCTGGATTGCAACTCATGCCCATAATTCTTGCCACTCGGGACGCTGAGACCTGATAATGAAGATTCAAAGCCAGCCAGGGCTTTCCAATTAACCAGCAAAATGCTGGACTGGAGGTAGAGAACCAGCTGTGAGCAAGAACGTGAGCACAAGACTCCCAAGTTCAAACCTGTATCAGGACCCACCCCCCTAAAAAGCACTGATGGAGCTCATGATAAAAAAACTATTTCTAGGCAGGCACCGGTGGCTCATGCCTGTAATCCTAGCTACTCAGGGGGCTGAGATCTGAGGATCTCGGTTCAAAGCCAGCCCAGGCAGGAAAGTCCGTGAAACTCATCTCCAGTAAACCACTAGAAAACCGGAAGTGGCGCCCTGGCTCAAGCGGTAGAAAGCTAGTTTTGAGCTGAAGAGCGCAGGGACAGCGCCCAGGCCCAGAGTTCAAGCCCCATGACCAACCAAAAAAAAAAAAAAGGAAAGAAAAATATATATTCAGACCAACAAAACTAGAATATGAACGTGAAAGTACATTAATATTACATTCCCTGAGCTTGATCACTGTACTGTGGATAACACCTTGACCAGCAACCAAAGTTGGGCCTAAGGAATCAATGTACATAAATCAATGTACATATAATCAATGAATGCAGCAAATATTCAAGATATACAAAATACATGCATACAAAGAATGAAAACAAATGTGTCAATGATTAGAATGTGGGCACAGATAAGAAGTTTTCTATTACTGTAACTTTTCTAAATCCAAAATGCAATGACTAAACTGCCTAGTATACTTGTATAATTCAATTACAGTAAAATAGCTAAGAGCTGGGCTTTAGAAAGAAACAATTTCTCCACTACTTATGACATAAGCTGGGCAAGTAACATCTGCATGTTTTTTACTGTCAGGATTGTTAAGAGTAAGACAAGACCTTAGAATAGTACCTAGTTATAAGAAACATTCCAAGTGTTACTTCAAGTAGATGGTAAGATATTAAGAAACATTTTCAAATTAAGAGTAGCATGATTTGGGCTGGGAAGGTGGCTCAGTGGTAGAGCGCTTGCCTTGCATGCATGAGGCCCTGGGTTCGATTCCTCAGCACCACATAAACAGAAAAAAAAAAGCCGGAAGTGGTGCTGTGGCTCAAGGGGTGGAGTGCTAGCCTTGAGCTGAAAAGCTGAGGGACAGTGCCTAGGCCCAGGTTCAGGCCCCATGACCGGACCCAAAAAAAAAAAAAAGAGTAGCATGATTTGCTTTTCCATAAGGGCAGGCTGCTAATTATTGAAAGCTCTTTGCTTGTCTTATTACACTTACAAACTCAATTGCCAAGTTTTTGTTTAGCTATAGACTAAATCCCTAAAGTGAACACCAACATCTACCCAGTGACTTGGAATAAATAAAGTTACCACTTCAAGATTTGTATATTCACCTGAATAGTCAGGGAACTTCCACCTATTTTATTTAGGTTTTCATTTTTTTCAAATTCCAACCAGAAAAAGCTAAATACAATTGGAAACTAGTTACACACTAGTTTTACTCCAAAGGAGTAGGATCATTCAGATTTACTCCATGAAAGTATGCAACCCTTAAGCAAAGCTATTCTTCATTTAAAAGGAGAAAAAAAGAAAAACCAAAAAAACTATACAGTAGTCTTTCCTTATGTTCATTGCACAAAATGAGTTCTGCTTTTAGAACTTTTGACACTCTGGTTATTTTTACAATTTAAGATTCCAACTTTTATAACTTTTCAAAAATTCTCCTTTTCCTTTAGGATGGTGTAGAAACAAGTATTTCTGCACAATTTACTGAAATTTTTCTTTGTAATTAAATTCTCTTTAACACCAAAAAACAAAACTAAAACAAAAAATGTAAAGTCCTCTACCTATCATGGTTTCTGCAGCTATGAATGTATTTCTCAGTTTTATAGCTGCTTTGGCTACTTCAGACTCCAGATCTGCTTTTGAGTGCATAAATACATCCACTCAGCAGAATACTTTCAAAACAGCAACTTGGGGAAAGAGATCTGGGGAACAAAAAAGATTATGTTAAGTACCAAGAAAAACATGAGGCAAGAATGCCTATAATGAGATGGTTTTTCATTTAAGATTTCTTCCCCATGGTTGTATTTTCTTTTTAAATAACCACTTCTGGTTATAAAATGAATCTGACAGTGCTCTGAAACAATGGTGATTATAGCAAAGCTTTTTAAAAAAAAAAAAAAAAAAGTTATTTATACCTGTTACATTCACTTCTCACCCTCAAATACTGATGACAGATGTCAAAGAGGCAACAACCAGCACAAATGGGAAGACCATCAAAAATGAGTATCACCTTGTGCTTTCAGATACATTTAAGCATTTCAGTGTACAATAGTCCTTTCATTTCACATTTTTAGTAAGATGCTGATGCAGTGCAGCAGATATGCAAAGCATCTTCCTTCACACAGTCCGTGCAGAAGACATCTAATTTTTTTTTAAGTTCTGCGATACAAATGAAAAAAAAAAAAAATCCAGGATGAACAAGGTTCAAAATGCATAGTGTTCTGTGCATGAGTCCATTTTCTTTAAAACTCTGAAAGAATAAAAGTGGTAAGAAAAAAAAATGCTGCTGCATTCTCTGATCTCCATTTTGCTGGTTTATACTCTATTCTGGCATGTAAGGACGGAGGTGGTCCTCTATGGTGCCAACTGCCCAGTGGGTGAGCTGTTCCTGTGGCAGGTAGAGGCAGATGCTGCATAACTTGAAGATGGTAGCTTTGTTTTTTGGAGTCTGGTAAAGAAAAAAGGTTTTAAAAATAATTTTAATATAAAGAGCATAATTTTAACTTGAAGCCAATCTCCCACAATGTATTAAGAACCCAGGGCACAATAATAAAGCATACAAAGTAAAGGATAAACCTGTCCATTGTTTAGTAAAGAAAACAATCTTATCATACAAGATTATTAGGGCTGAGGACTAAAAGAAAATTGAAGTATTATCAAGTAAATCAATCACTATTATTTTATTTTTTATTTTTTGCATTGGTCGTGGGACTTGAATTCAGAGATTAGCCAATGTCCCTGAGCTTCTATGCTCAAGGCTAGCACTCCTCTACTTGAGCTCTACTTAGGGCTTTTTTGGTAGTTAATTGGAGACAAGAGTCTCACAGAGTTTCTTGCTGGGGCTGGCTTTGAACTGCGATACCCAGCTCCCAGCCTCCTAAGGAGTTAGGATTACAGGCTTGAGCCACCAGCACCCAGCTTGAAACTGCTGCTTAAATGGGAAGTGCTTTTAAAATACAAATGTGAGCCAGGCACCAGTGGTTCATGCCTATAATCCTACTCAGGAGGCTAAAATCTGAGGATCTTAGTTCAAAGTAAGCTGAGGTAGGAAAAATGGATTCTCTTAGTTTCAACTAAGCAACTAGCCCAGAATTCAAGTTCTAGTACCACAACCCCTTCCCCCCCCCCCCCCAAAAAAAAGTTTTGCAACTTCTAGAGTAAGGACTAAGATATCTGTTCTCCATTTTCTAATAAGTTCAAATTAATCCTGTGTTAAGGGGGCAAAACAGAATTAAGTATCTCATTCAGAAAAGTATGCTAACCAATAAGCTTCTTGAATAAGCCCCAACGTAGTCTTAAAACAAACAACCAAAAAAAACTTACCTGCAAGTGCTGTCTGTCAATAAAGAGAAACACTGACTGGCTAGGATTGTTGACAACAATTCCAGTCTTGTCCTTGCGGCTCAGTACATGCAGAAACTGTTTTTCATAGTCACCATGATGAAACTCAAATTTGGCCTAATTACAAAATACATATATTTATATATAACTTTAAATGTTAGACTACCTGAAATAACTACTACATCCATCCATCCATATGCATATTATCTGTGTGACTCAATGTTAGCCAATGGCCACACATGGCTACTCAGTTATCATTATATATAATTTAAAAAAATTTTGTCCCAGGTGTGATGGTACATGTGTGCACACTTGCCATCCCAGTGCTTTGGAGGCTGAGGGTAAAGGTTGAGAACTCCCAGGCCAGCCAGGGCTACTCAACAAGAACCTATCTCAACAAAACAAAACCCAAAACAAAATTAAATTCCTCATGAAAAGATTTAGGAGAAAGCTTAGTAAGTACATCATCTCTCAAGCATTAGTCATGATTTAAGACGAAATTACTTATTTCAACTGAGGTATCATAAAGGATACTAGAAACTCAAATGGACACAAAAAAAATTTCCCAGTGGGAAATCCTGAACAACAAAAAAAACAAAACCTCCAGACTGGAGGTATGACTCAAGTGGTAGAACACCGCCATGACAACAAGTAAAGCAAGCTGGAAGCCCAGGGTTCAAGCCTCAGTACTAGCCTAAAAAAGAGGGGGGGGGGGGGGGTGTGGAAGGGAGCACACTCCAGGTATAAGTGGCTCAGGCACAAGCCTGAACTATTCAGGAGACAGATCTTTCCAGCCAAAGCAGGAAGGCCTATAAGACCTTATCTCTGAATAACCAGCAAAAAATCTTGAAAGGAGGAAGAGGAAGATCCCATCAGATGGCCTGAGACAAACCAGTAATCCCAGCTACTCAGAAGTTAGGAGACCAGCTCAGCAAAAATTAGCATTTATGAAGACTTGTGTTCAATTCCCAGCAACAAAGTATTATTCAATTTACTTCAGTACAGCTTTTAGAAACAGATCAACTTCTAGAAAAGGTTCTTTACTTGCTCTAGAAGAATAAAGGTACATCCTGCCCATGTAATTGTAACCCCTCTGTACAGTATGTTCACAAATAAAAAAAAAACAAAAACAAAAAAAAAAGAATAAAGGTAGTCGGAGTGCTGGTGGCTCACACCTGTAATCCTAGTTACTCAAAGCAAGAGATCTGAGGATCATGGTTCAAAGCCAGCCCAGACAGGAACCTCTGTGAGATTTATCTCCAGTTAACCACGAGGAAACCGCTAATGCTGTGGCTCAAGTGGTAGAGTGCTAGCCTTGAGCTGAAGGACAGCACCCAAACCCAGAGTTCAAACCCCAGACCAACACCACCTCCCCACCCCCCCCAACCCAGCCCTACCAAAAAAAGAAAAAAAAAAAAAAGAATAAGGGTCATAAATCTGAAGCTTACCTAAAGGCCTACCTTAAAGAGATTTTCTGGTCTTACTTTCTTCTCTTACAATAGTCAAAGGAAGGGTTAGGAACGTGGCTTAGTGGTAGAGTGCTTGCCTAGCATGCATAAAGCCCTGAGGTTCAATTCCTCAGTACCATATACACAGAAAAAGCCAGAAGTGGTGCTGTGGCTCAAGTGGTAAAACACCAGCCTTGAGCAAAAGAAGCTTTGGGAGGGACAGTGCCCAGGCCCTCAAGCCCCAGGATTGGCCAAAAAATAAAAATGAAAAAAATTAAAATCAAAGGACAAAATGAATTTGTGAAATAAACTTAATAGAAAGCATATTCCCAAAGAAGTTAGATTCAATTGTAAAAATGTTGATATAATTGTTCATTTTGGAATACAATACCTGAACAGGCCTAAAAGGTTCATCAGATTCCTTCCACCTAGAAAAACAGGAGACAGACAATTTTCTCAATATCATTCCGAGGCCAAAGAATGAAATCCATCTCCTGAGTACAGCCAATAACATCCTATAAAGAAGAAAAAAGATTTTTTAAAACAAGAAATAAAGCTGTAACAAGCAAAGCCCAAATTACAGGGTTTAACTACAGAAACATTTTACAAATGCAGAAGGCCCACTATTTATTAATTTGTATCTTACAAGATAATAGTTAAAAGGTCCACCATTTATCAAATTTTACCTCAAATTTAGTTTTATTTTCATCTCAGAATCTAGTTATTTAGTTCACACTATTGCTCACATAAAGCCTAATATTCAGTAGTACATGGCAGAATTGCTTTTACTTTTGTTGTTACTCATGTACTTTTATTTCCACCCTTCAGAGTTATTTATAAAAAGGTTAATATTTATTCTCTAGCCAGACAGGGAAACTCAGTAGTTAATATATGAAACATTCTGCCAGGTACTGGTGACTCATACCTGTCATCCTAAACTACTCATGAGACTGAGATCTGAGGATAATGGTTTGAAACCAGCCTGGGACAGCAAAGTCCATGAGACTTTTATCTCCAATTAACCACCTGAAAACTGGAAGTGGCGCTGTGACTCAAAGTGGTAGAGCACTAGCTTTGAACAAAAAGAGTTCAAGAACAGCACCCAGGCCTTGAGTTCAAGTCCCACAACTGACACCCCCCCCCAAAAAAAAAAATCCACAATAATCACTATTATACAATAATTACATGGCCAAAGCAAAGTTAAACTTTTTTCTTTTCTTGATCCTCAGATCTCAGCCTCCTGAGTAGCTAGGATTACAGGTGTGAACCACCAGCGCCCAACAAACTTTTTTCTTAAGTCAATTTCTAAGAAAACAAATTCACAGGGCTGGGAAGATGGCTCAGTGGTAGAGCACTTGCCTTGCATGCCTGAGGCCCTGGGCACCACATAAGCAAAAAGAAAAAAGCCGGAAGTGGCGCTGTGGTTCAAGTGGTAGAGCGCTAGCCTTGAGCTGAAGAGCTGAGGGACAGCTCCCAGGCCCCAGAGTTCAGGCCCCCACGACCGGACCAAAAAAAAACAAAAAAACAAAAAAAAAAACAAATTCACTTCACTAATTTAAAACCAATTTTTCCTGTTTTATTGAAGATGGGATCTTAGTCTATGTAGCCTAGAATATATAATCCCGCCTCAGCCTCCCAAATCTTAGGATTACAGGTAGGCCACCATACTTTGCAAAAGAACAAATTTAGATGTAGCACTTAAGTGGTTCTAAGTACCTATAATGAATTGAAAGAATTTCTGTACAAATTTTATCCAAAAATGAAATGGTCTGAGGCAAAATCTACATTTTTCCCATTTTTATATATATATATATATATGTATTTTTTTTCCCCCCTTAAAGTCTCTAAAGCATGATCCCAGTTTTTTGTTTTTTTGTCAGTTGTGGGGCTTGAACTCTGGGCCTGAGTGCTGTCCCTCGGCTCTTCAGCTCAAGGCAAGCGCTCTACCACTTGAGCTACAGTGCCACTTCCGGTTTTCTGGTGGTTTATTGGAGATAGGAGTCTCACAGTCTTTCCTGCCCCGGCTGGCTTTGAACCTCCATCCTCAGATCTCAGCCTCCTGAGTAGCTAGGATTACAGGTGTGAGCCACCAGCGCCTGGCCCAGTTCTTAATGTAGCACAAAATCAAATATAACTAGAGCTCCATCTTGACAGTACCTACCCATGCTCAGCATGAAAAATATTGTAAGCTTAATTCACAAAAATTTTAATAAGGTTTATTGAACTTACCCTTCTCATAGACTGGTATCTTGGAGCATGGAGCTGTACCACATCCTTCTGTAGAAGCTCTATGGAACTTTCCAAGGAATAGCTGGAATCTCGCACACCTTTAAGGATATTTTCTTCATAATTATTTGTCATGACTGGTATAACTTCAGACACTTCAAAAAGTGCTGATTTTTTCTTCTAAGAGGAAAAATAAAATTACATTAACTACTGTAAACACACTGTCATTTGATCCCACTAAATATTACAATGTCAAAAAATCTTTACTCCACCTTAGTATAATTCTTAACTGTCTAAAGTATTTTTATATAGAAAATGTGCATTTTTAGTATTGGCTCTTTGTTCTTCCTCTGCCAAACATAAATAGCCTAATATTAAAATGGTAACTCCTCAGATTTATAGCATTTTGTATCCTATACCATGTACTTATTTGAGACAATTTCTTACATGCTGTGACTGACACCAGGCATCCCTAAAGATGCTCGTTTTAAAAATACGGTATCCAAATTACCTATTTCATTCCTTAAATGAGTCCATTTCCATTACTCTTTTTGAAGATTATGTGCAAGTGTTAGTATTTGAAAGAAAAAAGTATACCATATTCTTTCAAAACTGGGTTAAGATTAAGTGCTCATTACCAAGCTAGCTTTCAAAATTCTGTCCTATAATGATCACTAACTATTCATGGCAATTGTATGGATATAATCCATTCCTAGAATAATACCAGATTTCCACAAATATTAAAAAAACTAGCTCGTACAGTCTGGGGCATCATAGATTGTACAAAGATTTAACCTCATCATTTATACCTTGAATTTTGAAAGAACTTATGTTAAAAAAAAAACCTTGAACTAAAATGTGATCCTATCAGATTTCAGTAAACTTATTTTTCAAAAAGTATAAGAAAATGTGGAAATAAATCCTTCCTTATTAGCTATACTTGGGACAATCATTTCAAAACACAAATCCATCAAAACTATGCTACAATGCCATTACTCCAGTGACTAAGAGTTCATAAATACAAACAATTGTTAAGAATGGAATAAACACCTGGAAAACTTAAAAATACTACACAATTCCACCAACATATTTCTGATTTGAAATCAATTCAACATTTAAGTAAAAAATCAAAGTAGTACTTCCTTTTTATCTAAACCCATCTCCTGTCAAATAAACCACCTTGCTCATAATTTCAGAAACTGTCTACTTTTCAGTTGCAAAAGTATACAATAGAACTTTCAAGAAATTCTCTTTGACTTTCTACAACTTCTGATACTTAATTGTAGAACTAATTCTAACTAAACCAAAATATTTAAACCTCTTTTATGTCATTTTGAATTTTAAGAAACAGTGAAACACAAATTACTCATCTCAGTATTTAACTGTTCTTAAAACTTGGAAGTATACTTAACTTCCTTAAATGCACGAAAAGAAAAGAAACCTAACAGTTGAAGAAACACACTACCTTTAGCCTAAATTTTTTATTATAATTTAACACTTTCAAGGGTCCTATTTATATATTACATAATCCTTATATTCAGCTATAAAGTTCTCAATTACTCCAGTTTTACAATGCTATCCAACCCATGTCAACTACAAGTGGATCCTACTAACCTTTAGAATTAAACCCTATTTCCAAGTCAATTAATAATGAAGAGCCTTCCATTCATATTTTTAATGTAACTACTCAATTCGCAAGATCACCCATAAAGGTGAGAAAGTAATTAAAATACCTTCCCCAGATACTTTTTAACCTAATATTCAAATATGTAAGTAATATACTTATGTTTATTATGTAAACAACATACATGTAAACATTCATGTTGTTTACATAACATACATATACAAAAATCACTTGTGCTAATTCACATTAAGAATTTTAAATTACCTTCTCCTTGAATACAAAGGCAATATACATCTTGAAGTCAAACTGGTCAGCTAGAGATTCTTTTTTCTTTCTAAGCTGAGCACGTAGTCTGTTCAGAGCTTGTTTCTTCCGGGAGTTTGGGTCCCCCATTTTGAAATAAAGGTGGTACTAAAGCCTTTGGAAATTGTCACTAAACTATGGGCACTTTTTCTTAAGACTCAAGTACAACAGAAACAAGTCATTTTTTTCTCCTGCTAATATGATTGAATAGCTAAAATCACAACTGTAACCCCAAAACGGCACCTTCTGGCAATATTAGCAGACTGTCATACTACAGGGTCAAGAAACCAAAGCTGCTGTCCAGTCATGTTTGGACAATGTTTGGGGTCAAACAGGAAAAAGGAAGGGGAGGAAGGAAAGAAAGAGGAGAAAATACTTGAACTAACTTTCCGGAAAACACATTTGGCTTAGCTGCCAAAATAAAAGCTTTCAAAGGGGAAATGAAAATCCTGATAATCAGGATTTAAGTGTGCAATAAAACACAGCTGACACCAGTCCAATCCTTGAAATCCATCCGGATTTTTCCCCCTTTTAAGAAAAGGGCCTATGAAAAGTAATAGGGAAGGGGAGGGAGAGTGTGATCCTTGTTTTCCAAGTACCAAAACAAAAAGAAAAAAAAGAAGAAACCAAAAACAAAACACCAAAACAGGGTAGGTGAATGAAACTGAAATACCCAATCGTATTTTACCCAGCCAGATCCATGGCTGTAGTACCTAATTAATTCTGTTATTTCAGATTTCACTATTGCTATGTATTGTCAGTGCTTGTTATTGATTACTCTTGGTGGTGGTGATCAAAGAGAAAAGTGCAAAATCAGCAGAGAAAGGGGAGAGGTACAGGATTTCCCTGCAATCAACTACAGTGTATACCGGGGGTGGACAGCTGTTGCCCAAAGCAGCCATAAGGAAAAACAGCGGAGTCATTACCAACTTCCCCATCACCCACATTTTCACCCTCAGGCGGCTGCTAATGCTGCTGCCAAGGAGAATCATGATGGCAGAGGGAAAGGGGTATATTAATTGATATTAATAATTATTCCGCCTCTGTGGTTACACCTGATTAATGCCCAGGATGATCCCGACAATCCTCAGTCCTGCGATAAGCTCTACATTCCCCAAGGGAGCCTTCCTTATGAATTTGCCCCTGTCAAGATGGTGGGGAGTGCGGTTTATCTTCTCGTGAGCATTGCTGAGGCAAAGGTGGCGGGTTCTCCCAAATCCCGGGCAGTGCCTGGGGACCACCTGCCGTCCACCCCACCAGGTCCCACCCCCACCCCTCGCCTTCAGCGGCAGCGACTCACTCGCACCACGGGAGACACAGGATCACTCAGGATTTCACTCATTTCATCGTGGAAACAATTCCCGCCCGGATAGAGTAGGCGGGAGAGGGCAAAAAGGGACGGGATCAGCGGGAAAAAGAGAAAATAGTTGTGTTAATATTAGTCAACTTTTTTAAAGTAAGCCCACCCCCCCTAAAAAAAAAAAAGTTCCCCAGATTCTAGATTCGCTCTCCCGTTCAACAGACCATGTTTTCCAGCGTTTGGATGGTGTAGGGTGGGGTCGTTAAGTTGGTTTCCCGAGGTGGGGGAGAGGGGGGGGTGAGTGAGGTTTGGGGGAGGAAAGGAGGCAGAAAGTGGAGTCGAGGCGGCAGGAGGGTCGGGGTGGGGGGTGACGGGGGGATCTGAAATCCCCTTCCCGGTCCCCCGCGGATTACCAAGACTCACGGACCGACTCTCGGGATTGGGGAGGTTCGGGGCCCTTCTAGCCGCAGCCTGCGGGCGGAGCGGTGGCGGCGGCGGCGGAAGAGGCGGCGGCGGCGGGGGCGCTGCTCGCAGCTCGGGCAGGAGCCATGTCAAGAGAAAACCACCAGCCAACTGAGCCCCTCCATCCCCGCTGCAGTGCGCACGGTGACCGGGCCGCCCGCGCTGCTGCCGCCACTCAGCCCCCACCTGGGACCCATAGTCTGGCTCGGCGCCCCCGGGCAGCGACGGAGGGGGAAAGGACACGGAGGGAGCGGCGAAGGGGAGAGAGAGAGAGAAGAGGGAGGAGAGACGAGAAGAGGGGGCGAGGACTGGCGTGGGCCGCGGAGGGGGAGGGGAGGGAAAGGGAGCCCTGCGCTAAAGGGGGTCTTGGCAGCCGAGAAAAAAACCCCCAGGAATAAGAGTTATTTCAGTCCAAGCATCTGCTCTACAGAGTCTCTCTTCCTCCTACAGTCCGGTTTCAGGCTCGGGAGAGGAGGTCGACGAAGACCCGCCGAGGGGGAAGCGCCGAAGCGGGCGGGTGGAAGCGTTCCGCGGTGACGCAGCCTCGTTTCCCCCCCACCGGTAGCTGCGGAGAGCGGCGACCCTGGGCGCCTCCCTGGTCCGGGGCAGAGTCGCGTTTGAAGCAAGGGGTGGGGGGGGGAGAGGAAAAAAAAAAAGCCAGAACAAACAACTTAAAATGGCAGCGACGGCCGCTGCGTCACCCGCCCCTCAGCGGCACCGCCCCGAGCCCTCTGCGGCTGCGCGCTGCGCCGGACGACACCATCTGCGCAGAAACTCGGGGGAGGAAGGAGGACTTGGAGATGGCGGGGGGAAGGTTTGCGGGGTAATCGGGGGAACATTGGAAAGAAATTCCCAAGGAGATGGTATAGGCGAGCTTTGAACGAGACACGTCCTTGACGTTAATCTTCTTCTGTCGCGTTCCCTCCTCCAAGGGCAGTTTGAGGATGGATAACTCCTCTCTTCCACAAAATGGAACTTTTTAAGGGGCGGGGAAAGGGGCTCCCGGACACGCCCCTCTGCCTCTCGGTCACGAGGTCCCAGTCTCGGGAGTTGGCTCTTCGCCCCGCCCTCAATACGTCATAAAAGCCCGCCTTTCTGGCCTGCCGAAGTCCCGGATGGAGTCGCTCTACCGGTGTCTCCTAGCCTCTAGGGCTGGGCACGGGGTAGTTGTTCTGCGGGAGCTCCGAGCCGAGGAGCCCGGCGGGCCAAAGTTGGGACGGAGTAGGGACGGAGAGTGGGTGTGAGAAGGGGGAGGGATGAGTCAGTAAGAGGAGAGTGCGCTTTGGAAAGCTGTGAGAAGATTCTGGCTTCGTTTTCTTAGGTCTCGGTAGTCCTGGGAGTCTACCCCATTGGTCTCCCCAGCCGAAAGTTCCTTTCCAGTATTGGGAAGTTAGAGACTGGGTGCAGCGGAAAGTAGTTCACGGCAGCCTCGTCTCCTCACCTCCCCCCGAGGTGGCGTTGGTCTCCAGCGCCACGTGCGCCGCCGGGGAGGTTTGAACTAGGTCAAAGTCGCCCTTGAGGCGTGGCGGCCGGAGCCGGGGAGGGACGCAGCCCGGCCTGGTTGGGTCCATCTTCCCTCCTGCAGCCACCACACGGTCTCTGTACAGATCTCCGGGGACCGAGGACCTACATCCTGTCCCTCTTGTGGATCTCTGTCCTCAAAACGTGGCGCCCTGGCCTCGGCATCACGTCGCCCTTGACACCAAAAACAGCGTAGGAGACCTCCGTGTTCATAGCTCTGATGTGCTGATAAAAACCCAACGTTATGTAATCGGCAAAGGTCAATAATCCACGTTAGCCAAACCAGTTCTTCACTGGCTGCTCTGTGATGAAATTTTAGAAGCCTAGGTTTCCCAATTAACTGCGTCTTATTTCGTGAAATCAAAATCTGTTAGCTGTTAAAAAAAAAAAAAATTAAGACCAGAAGGCAAAGAAGTACATGCGACCCACCCTTTAATATAAATTGTCCAAAATCAAGGATGGGATTCCTGAGGTTTCCAAATTCCTGATCTTGAAAGGTAAAGCTTATAATGCTAGTGCTTGGCTGATTTGTTTTCCCAATCTCATGGTAATGAAAGTTCACGTGATAACCGATGATTTCACAACGTTTTTGGCATATAATCATGAGTTTAAACAGCTTTCTTAAAATAGCTATATGCCATACCATTAACCTATTTGAAGAATACATTCTTAGGGTTTTTAATCAGAGTTGTGTAGCGATTATCGTCACCCCAAGAAGAAACCCGGTATCCATTTAGTAATATTTCCCCTTTTCAGCTCTCCCCAGCCCTAAGTGACACCTAATTTATGTTGTTTTATACATTTACCTTTTCTGGAATATCCTATTCATTGAATCATTTATTATGTGATTTTTGTTATCAGCTTCTTAGCATGTTTTCGAGATCCATCCATATTGTCACATGGTGTGGATACAACATATAATTCCTTTTTATTACTAATATTCCACTGTAGGATATTGTTTACTTATCAGTCAATAGATGTTTAGGTTATTTCTGCTTTTTAGCCACTATATATCTGCTATAAACCTTTTTTTTTTTTTTTTTTTGCCAGTCCTGGGGCTTCAACTCAGGGCCTGGACACTGTCCCTCAGCTTCTTTTGCTCAAAGCTAGCACTCTACCACTTGAGCCACAGCACCACTTCCAGCTTTTTCTGTTTTATGTGATACTGAGGAATCCAACCCAAGGATTCATGCATGCTAGGCAAGCACTCTACCACTAAGACACATTCCCAGCCCTATAAAACATTTCTTTAAATGTTTTTTTTTTTTTTTTCAGTTTCTATACATTGGTCATAGTGTAATCCTAGTAAGTCAGGAGGCTGACATCTGATAATGGGATTCAAAGCCAGTGTGCCAGAAAAGGCAGTGAGACTTTTATCTCCAATTAACTACCTAAAAAGTGGAAGTAGAGTTGTGGCTCAAAGCAGTAGAGCACTAGCCTTGGGCAATAAAGCTCAGAGACAGCCCCCAGGCCCTGAGCTCAAGACCCATAACTGACAAGAAAAAAAAAGTGGAAAAATTAAGCCAGCACTGGTGGCTCAAGCCTGTATTCCTAGCTACTCAGAAGGCAGTAATCTGATGATCATCATTCAAAGCCAGCAAAGGCAGGAAAATCTGTGAGACTCATCTCCAATCAAACACTAACCACCAGAAAACTAGAAATGGACTGTGGCTCAAAGTGATAGAGCACTAGCCTTTGAGAAAAAGAGCTCAGGGACAGTACCCAAGCCCCAAGTTCAAGCCCCAAGATTGACAAAAAATAAAAAAAATCCTCTACTAGGAAAATCTCCGTGTCACTCACCTATCCAGTATTCCTAAATTTAGATGCCAGGACCCACTTGACAGGGATATCCCCATAGAGAGACCATGTAAGGACACCTCAAGATGATAGCCATCTGCAAGGCAAGGAAAAAGGCTTCTGAAAAAGTCCCTAAACAATTTATAGTTCCAATCTTAGACTGCTAGCCCCCAGAATGCTGAAGAAATCAATTTCTGTAGTTTTAGGTTGCCTAGTTTGAAGTACTAGGCAAAAAACAAACACAATAATTATAAGAAAATGCCGTCCTGTGACTAGAGCATGAAAATGGGAGGGGTAACAGGTGTGCAAAGATGCCTGCAGACTGAAGTGCCAGTATATGTGTCAAAATGAATAGTAGCCCGTTGGCAGAGAGACTGGAGCTTAAGTGAGAATATTATGCAGGCTGTTTTTTCTTTTTGCTTTTTGCTTTTTTAGCACTGTGGGGAAGATGGTGTGACCTTGGGGTGAACAAAGGAGAAAACAAGGAGCCAGGGAATTTTCAGTAAAGGAATGGCAAGGAGAGGGCTATAAAAAGAGAACTGTTAGAAAATAGGATGAGAGCCAAGGAAGAGAACATGTGAGGTAGGAGAAATCCTTTTTTTTTTTTTCTTTTATGCTGTAGAAAGAAACCAGAAGAGTAGAGTTAACTAAAAAGAGGTCATTGTTTTTCAGACATCTTTTGGAGAATAGCTTCAGTGTGGCTGTGGGGATGGAAACCAGATTGCCAAAGATGCAGCAGATGCGGGTATGGATAGACAGCTTATGCAATCCAGGGCACATGTTACTACACCTTTAAGACATTAGGTAGCCCCAGAGAGAACCAGCTTGGTGGGGGCTGGAAGGTGATGATTCTTTTGGGATCTGTTGCATAATTGAAACTAAATGGAAGAGGAACTGAGGATGCAAAGACGTCCTTGTAGACAAGAAGTCCTCTAAGGGTTGTGTGGGCTGGTGGGAACACGATGGATGCGTTTATTTTTGAAAGAAGAGGTAGGGGCTGCAGATGCAGCTCAGTATTAGAGTGACTGCTCTGTATGTAGAAAATATTGGGTTGGTCCCTATCACCATCACCAAAAAGAAAACAATAACAACAAAAAGGGGCTGGGAAGGTGGCTCAGTGGTAGAGCACTTGCCTTGCATGCCTGAGGATCTGGGTTCGATTCCTCAGCACCACATAAGCAAAAAGAAAAAAGCCGGAAGTGGCGCTGTGGCTC